TGGTATTTGTATGACCCAAAATTTTGCACACACACTCTCTTCGTATCGGTAATCAATCTCAAAACAAAGAAATCAATTTGCAACCCATATATGGTCAAAATGAATTCCCTCAAATGATCCCCGTATATGGTCAAAATGAGTTCCCTCAAATGATGTATCTAGATCGTCCATTTAGTGAATTGTAGGATGTAGGCCTTTATGAATTCGAAATCAATTTTTTATTTTTTAACGTTGTTAATCTAATGATACTAAAGTTATCTAAAAAATTTGGATAGAAAAAATATCCTTCTAAAGCTTCGATCTAAGTAGCTCACCAAAATGGACGACTTAAGTTAATTGGGTTAAAAACACTTTCCAAGTTGTGTTTTCAAATTTTTCCTTTTTTATTATTGTTTATTAGAATGAAAAGAATGTATATTTTAAAATTTGGGTAAAAAAATGGCCCTAACAAGATTTTTTAAAATTATTTGATTAGATTACCATATAACCGTTTTACATGAAATCACTCCCCTAGAGAGATAGAGAGAGATCTTTCGTAAATAACAACATTGTTTAGGAGCCCTGCTCAACACTTACGTGATGATGCGGAATGGCAGAATCACTAGTGACCCAAAAGAAGAAGAGAAGCAAGATGGGAATTTTCCAGAAAAGAAATTGCATTTATTGAAAGCCCTGCAGCACTCGCAAACACGAGCAAGGGAAGCAGAAAAACAAGCCTCTCAGGCCCAGCTCGATAAAGAAAATGTGGTGGCCCTCTTCTTCAAGGAGTCTTCTCGATCCTTTGCATATCGACAGTGGTTAAAGCTGCTCGAAGCCGAGATCTTGATGCTTCAGTCCAACCTCTATAAACCAAACCCCATCTCTCCTTCTGCACGAATAGAAGGAGAGAAGAGAGAAACAGCAAAGACCAAGAATAATAGAGAGAATGGTCTTGTGGATACCTTGTGGGGTTTTGCAGGGTTTACATTTTGTTTGGAAAGTGTGGGGTTCCTCATGGGGTGGAAGTTGGCAAATGTATGCTCAATCCAAGGTTTTGATTTCACAAGTATTTGGAGAAATTTGTGTTCTGATTGTTGAGAAATATGGGAGTGGGAGAAACTGGGTTGTAGAATTAGATTTTAGAGGCTTACAAAAACAACAGATAATGACCATCTTGTTTTCTTGACACGCTCATGACGCAATCTGAAAACAATATTTGCCCCTGACTCATTGAAATCACTATACATTAGCTTAAAGTATGCAAATTTATCTACTCTTAATAAACTAGAGGTAGTTGTATTTTTTTTCACCACTTTTCTTACTATAACTAGTCAAATCTCTTCTCACCACTTCCATCCAAATAAAATAATTGAAATTATTTCAGAAAAATAATTACCTCAAAATGTAGTTCTAAATATTGTATTTTAAAGTTATATGGTAAGTTTTTGGATTTTTATTTTTTCTAATATTCTAGAGTAATATTTACCTATGAGTAAATAATATACTTATCGGTATAATTATAATTTTAGCATATGGTAGAAAATAATATAAATAAAATACAATAAAATACAATAAAATAATTATTATCTAATGGAAGATCATATGTGAAGATGGATCCATTCAAATTCTCTCTGTTGTAGACCCTTTCTACAAATGTATGCCTTGTTGAAAATTTTAATTCAAGATCAATATTTTATTTGAATTGTTAATGAACATTCAATGAACGTGCATATTGGTGGTGTGGGGTGTATATATATATATATATATATATATATATATATATATATAGTAGTACTATAGTACTACGTACTAACGTAACGTAACGTAACTAGTACGTACGT